AAAACAATTCGCACAAGAATAAACAACTTTCTAACAATTCGCATTTATGAACATGCATGCTAATAGCAAGTAAATTAACAGAGTATCGAAAGTTCCAAGCAGTAGGAGTTCATATGCATGAAAGAACAAAATTCCTTATCAGGTTAGCATTTCCCTAACAAAAGAGATCAGAATTTGATGAATGTTTTCCTCCAGTATTACAGGTCCACTTAAATTTGATATCATAAAATCGTCAATAGTGAGTGAGTGGTAGAGCGGCATTAAAGTTTTAAATAAATTTGTAGCCACGTATGAAATGCATTCATCGTCAGAGCCTTAAAGAAAAATAAATTTGAGTATTTAAGATAAAGGGCTATAGAAGATCTTGCTTTAGCAAGACACACTATGTGTAAGTTTAAAATATAGTCAAAACTGAAATTAATTTATGAAGTGCAATAGAATGAACGCTCTAAGTAAAATAACAAGAATCTTTGCAGGTATTAGAAAAATATATGATGAGCCTGTTGAATCTTCGAAGTATACATTGGCATTAAGAAATTTAGGGAAAAATTAAATTAACTTGTTATTTTTATTGGGAAAATCTGTTAATTTGTCGCATGGAAGAGTAAAAGACACTTTATTTTAATGAAATAAGGGACATTGGTATTCATTTCACCTTCTTCAACAGACCTCTCATATTATTCGATGATGCTACAGATTGAAGTAACCTACAAAGTACTTTTGGCCCAAAGTTAGGTGCTGTCGATGCTAGGTCATCGGAGCTAGTGTAAATAGTCAGGAGTGGAGGCTTGGAAAAGAATAGGGAAAAATAACATATTCAGAAAATAATGATATCAGGGTGATTCATCGGAATAAGAAAGGAATTTTAAAAAATGTAAAAGGTACATGGAGAGAAGTCGAAACCTATTTTTATCATTATGCAATTGAAACGATTTTATTATTTGACTTCAAATTTTTTTATTAGCAAAGAAATCATTAATATTATTATTCTATTGAACACAATCTTAAGTTGATGATGACCTTTGTGAAGCAGGTGGATCTTATCAAACAATCTGTGTGTTTTTAGTCAAACAATAGGCCATTGGTATCATCGATTTGTCATGATGGTTGTTGAGGAAATAGATTAAACACTGATCTACAACCGTATAGAAAACAATTAGCTATGAAAGAGTTCTGGTTGGAAGGTAACTTTTAAGCAGTCTTCCACTGAACATCTCTAAATGTCTAAGAGATGACACCATATATATTCCAATTTCTTAGCTATAGTTGTGGCTTCAGTGAAATATTTATCAAACAATAATAATAACTTAGGAAGCGCTAAATTCCATCTAATTCTCCTGTTTAAACTGCTCTAACTTAGTTCAAGCGTTGCTGTCTACTACATAGAAGAAGCTTGTTAATAAAAATACAAATAAAGATGATACTTAAACGTAGTGTGTCAAAGCGTGTTAAACGTTTTGGGAATGCTTATACTTGCCATTCATCAAAAGCAACTTGAATTTAAAAATATGTTGCATTTTTGGATATTTACGCATAGAAATCTCAAACTCTACCATATGCCTAAAATTTACGAGGGCTATGTGCCAAAGGGTACAATAATTTTAAATAAAAACCATCGCCAGAAAGCAATGAGAAGAACCACTAAATTTGAAGGAAATACTGATTGTTTTTGTTCAACCTCGTCCCAAAAAGCAAAAATCAGTAATAAAGGTGAGCATATCAAATTGTTATAGGCTCAAAGAAATAGATTTAGCATTAATAGTGGTTCCTATACAGTTTTGGTCTCCAATAAATTTAGTTAAGCTGTGGAGAATTAGTAATAAATTATAAATTATCGAATGCCAAGGAGTGTTTAAAGCTACTCTCCAATCTTAAATCAGGTTTGCAGAATAAGAAGTAAGGCATGCATTCCAATGTGTTTGATTTTGCGAAACGATATCTTCTCACTAAACTCAATATTTAAGATCTCAACTGCTAAATAGATGTTAGATTGCATTTCAAGAGCTGACTGGTCCTAAACGCTTCGTTAAACTCTTTGTTGCATTATAATTGAATTGAAGGTAACATTTTGCAAATTTTAAAATTGGAGAATTGTACATCCCCCTCAATAAGCAATAAGAATTTTGGAAGCGAAAATCATCACGATAATCATATTCTAAAATTTATTGAATATTCTTTTTCAGATTCTCTCAATATGTTTTTTGTTTCCCTATAAAACCTATTTTGTTATCTAAAAAAAATAAGAAGTCAAGTAATTAAATACCATTGTATCAAATTTTTACTTCAAATGGAGAAACCACTTGTTCAAAACAATAAATTTCACTTTAAAGATTTGCTATTTTATTCATATCCCATAATAAGATTTAAAAGAAATTATAGCTAAATAAAAAAAAGGTGATAGTCTAATAAGAAGGAATATAAGAAGAGCTTAGAATGACTATATGCTGTTGCAAGTGTGCACAACTACTTTCGACTAATAATAGTTAAAGATTAAATCAATATTAAACATTTAATTATTTTAAGTAGTGAAAATAGAATATCTCATTCTAATATTAAGTCTTAGAGCTAAATTCCTTTATTATGAACTTTTACCCTAAGGTAGACTCGATTGACTTGATTATTAATGGAAAATTGATTAAATAGAAACCTAAAAACTTAGATAATAGCAGATTTGATTATCAATAGAACTTTGATATACAATTAGAAAACTAGACTAAGTCTTTGCTAGAAATGTTAGTAATAAGAAGCTAATTTTGCTATTATAAGCACATTCCTGTTAGAAACTATTTATTTGACCAATCTATAGAGAGCGAAAATAAAACCAATCCTTCTGTATGAGTTTTTAGAACTTTACAAGCTTAATATATTAGTTGAAGATCAGTTAGGAACTTTGACTGAGTAAATAAATCTGGGTAGGGGGATCATAATTATTTGGATTCAGAACTCCTAAAATCGATAAGAAGGGTTAATTATAACCTGTACCCATAAATCCAAGCGCACTTTTAGATTCTATAATATTAAGATTCAACAATTTTCTTATTTTTCGTCACTTAAAACCATATGTATTATATTCAAATTAATAGAGGTAATTATGGTGAGCAGTGGTTCTTAATAACTAGTTTATCATTGGGAGTTAATAGGGCTGGGGAAGTTAATGAAATCATAATTATTTATAGCGGATAAGGGATTATGTTCTAATCTAATGCTTTTATGATTTGATTGAAGTATTGTAGTCTAAGTGGCTTTTTGTATAAACTTTTTCACCTAACAAAAATATGAGACCTTTTTCTAAGGGTGTAAATAAATTGAATAAATGGATTTAAAAAAATAAATAAGTTATGGCTTCTTTATTGTCAAAAAACCGACTATATTTTTCGTCTCGCTAAAAATAGTTAACAACATAAAAATAAAGAAACGAATTGGTATTAAATTTATTTTTGAATTTTTCAGCTTTTTATTATAAAAGTATATTTATAAACAGGATTCAAATATCTCCAGTTTACTTCATTGCTTACTATGTAAAGTGATATAATATTTAGCTATTTCCAAGAGTACACCGTTCATCTTCTATTCCATCATGTTCAAATGATGGTACCAACTCAAATTGAATATTTATAAATTAACTATTGTCGATTTCATTCTTATTCATTTAGTGGCTAATAGACTCATTTGGATCAACTCAATCCAAAATTGTAACCTAAGAGTGCAACTCTGTCAATTTAAAGTTTCATAATGTGGAGAAAATTAAATTCAAAGAAATTCTCAAAATATCAAGTAACATGAGAGCCGATAAGTTGTAAATTAGCAATATGGAATCTCTGCTATTTTCTAAGAATTGCTGCTGGTGTTCAACTTCAAAGTTAAGGTTTCATTAATTGTTCAATATCTCTTCCATCTATTCCAAGAATAGGGGAAGCACGTATAAAGAAATATATTATTATTTATTCAGTTAGACATCAGGTTTATTTTCTCTCTCAAATTAATTGTTATTTATGTTCATTGATTCCAATCTCAATTAGATAAGTAGACCAGACATCCTCTGGTTCCACTTAAAACCTTTTCTTATTTCGGAAGCAGATCTAAGTTATTTACTTTTCAGGTTTCCAAATCCTCTCATCCAAGAATTAAGATCCTCAATACTATTTAAGTCATCACATAACTAATGGTGATCTCAATAACCAATACGTTTAATCAGGCCTACAAATTTGAATGGAACTTCTTGATAAGATAAACTAGATAAATAAACTAAAGATCTTTAGCAGTGGCTGCTGTTATTATTCATCTTATAATTATTTAGAAAATGGTTCAACATTAACAGGTATTATTAGTTTCTGTAATCTCTATATTCCATCAACCTGTAGAATTATCCGTAAATTGGTATAATAGTCGCTTATTTATATATTTGCAAGGGATGTATTTCATATAAATATTAGAATTAATTTCTACTTGATACTCCATTAAGTAGTTTTATCCTAATTCAATAGATTTTAAAGCTAAACCAAAATGTTTATTGGTTATTAGGTCAATCAGTAACTCATTTAATGATCAACCAATTGAATAAAC